GCCCTCCCCCCTGAGTCTCCCCTGGCCCTACTCCCCGCCCCCAGGGGTACCTCTAACAGGGTTTGTCTTTCCCCAAGACTAGGGCCCAGACTCTGATCAGGGCCCAGAACCCTAAGGAACTGTCTGGGCTCACAGATCCCCAATACACAGGAGCTTGAGGTTGTACCCTCCCTGCACTGTAGCCGGCTCTCCCTAGGAGGAGGGCATTCTTAACAATGACATTCCTTGACCTTTGGGTGGCCTTGAAGCCCTCAGCATTTTTTCATAAATGCTCACATTTACTCTATTAATTGCCAATTATTAGGTATCCCCACTTAACAGATGCAAAACCTACAGTTCAGAAAGCAAGGAGGTGGGGATACTGCCTCTGACTCCTGTCCAGTGCTGCAGGCTGACATCCCTGTCCCCAGCTCAGAAAGTGGTGTGTATACCAGGGGTTTTAACCACAGAGAGGAAAGTTTATTTTCATTTAGGAAGGTAGTGTGGTGGGAAGATGAGGGGGGGATCACAGGCCTGGTTTAGGCAAGTAAGTATGCATACAAATTAGGACAGAGGCTAGAGAAGTTTTGAGAATTACCCAAAGTAGAAGTCTGATGGTCCTATGGCCCAGCAAGACCCAGATTCCTACATGGGGACAGTATAAGATTAGGTAGCAAACTGATTCACATCGGGGGAGGTGAGGTGGCAGGGGGGAACCCCTCACGTGTGACCAGAAATGCTAATGCTACTCCCTGGCCAAATCTAGAATAGATCCCTCACCCAAACGTCAAACCTCCTCCTCCTCACAGCTCACTTCTTGGTGAGGTGAGAGAAAGGCAGGGCAGGGACACAGTCCTCTCGCTGGCAAGGTGGCTGTCCATGGCACTCGCTCGCTCCCTCCCTCCCTCCCCAACCCTGAGAGGCTGGGTTTGTTTACCTCTCAGCAGTGTGGTGGCAGCCAGGCCCAGGGGAGTCTCCCTGGGATGCCCAACCTCCCCAATGACACCCCCGGGACCCTGACAAGAAAATACAGACTGTTCCATCTGTGCGCAGAGGGGAGGGGAGGCTTCCCACTAAGCTCCAGTGATGAGGCCCATGAAGCTGGAAGTCTGGAGGAGACTCACAGATGTCCTCAGTATCCTCTTTCCTCTTACTGTGGGGGGCGGGAACATCACAGACTCCCAAGCTTCTCTGCCCATCAGTGGAGCCCCACGGAGGGCTCCTGCTGGAGGCCTCTGAAGGCACTCTGGCATGGCAAGGAGGGAGTGGGCCTGCTGGGGGTCTTTGCTGAGGGTGGAGGGGGGCTGTGGCCAGCTTGCCAGGGACACCTGGGGAGCACTTCTGATTCCTCAGTTCTTATAGACCCTCCCAGAGGGCAAATGCCATATTGGGGTTCGGGGGAGGTTCCTGAGAGGACCAGCACTAGGGCCTCTTATTTTCCACCTGGAAGCATAGCAGTGAGACCAGCCAGAGAAAGCATGCTAGCCATTCAGAGTTACCCGGGGGCACCTTTCTAGCCTTAGAAGGACAGGTTTGTAATTGCATTGCAGGCAGAGCACAGGCTGTCCCTGTGGTCTCTCTCACTCCCTAAGGGACCTGGCTCTGAGTCACTGTCCTCTACAACATGGGTCAGAGTGGCTAGGGCACTACTCAGGGTTCCACCAGGGCTGGGGCCCAGGACAGCAGCTGGGTTCTGCCATCTCTAGTAACATCTGCCCCAGCCTGGAACTCAGACCCAGGGGAGGAGGCCGCCAGGCTGAGTTGTGGGGACAACAGACCTCACAGCCCTACTCTCCTTCGCCTGCTGCCCCACACCCCCTCCTCGTTTGACCCGTGTCAGGCCTTCTCATCACCCTAAGCTGCTGGGCACAGCCCTGGGTTTGGCTGTCTTTTTCCAGAGACTGTTAATCCACTCCCCCACCCACCCCCATACACACACCACTCCTGCTATCCTCCTCCCTCTTCCTGATCTTCCCTAGCTGCTTCCTCCATGGGGAGGAGACACCGGGGCAACCAGCAGAACTCCTGAGCCCAGGGAAGGGCCACGGGTCCTCTGAGGCTTGCCACCTAGCATGTGTGAGGGCAGCAGGGCAGAAGAGTAGGCCTAAGCCCCTTCCAGCCCGTTCCTCAGGGTAGTGGGTGTCCTAGCTGGCACCAAGATCCATGCAGAGAATCAGGAGGTCTGTATCTGATCTGGGGCTGTTTGAATGGATAAGATTTCAACACACTTTTGAGGGGAGGATTGGGGGAGTTTGTGTGTGTGTGTGTGTGTGGGGGGGGTAACAACATTAGCATTGTTGAGCTTGGACAGGGGACATGCCTTGCCGAAGTTCAAGCCAGAGAGCAATAATTCTGGCCTCAAACCCAGGACTTCTCATGGAACCCTGTCCTCGCCCCATAGCTTTAAGCTAATGACAGCAGATGTCTAGCTAGCAGGTTTTAAATCTCATTACACCACCTGCCTGGGCCTCAGGTTTTACACAGGCTCTTTGGAGCCTGGTGGGACATGGGGAAGGCACCCGGGTGCAGAAGCACAATCTGGAGAAGGGAATTCTTCTGTGTGGCAGGGCCTGAGCTCTGAAATGACACTTTCGCAATACTTGCTCTGGCCAAGGTACTGCCTCCATCAAGTCTCAAGTGCTCAAGCCCATACCCTCACCTCCTGTGGCCTTTCCCTGTCACCCTGGACCCTGAGCCCCAGCAGCTGGATTTTTCGGATGGGAGAAAGGATACAGTAGCCTAAACCTGAGTCAATTCTAGAGAGGTAGGCTGCGGGGACAAGGGGGGGCCAGGCTTCACCTAGCAGTCCCTTAAGCCGTTAAAAGTTCTTACATAAGCAGCCATCCCCTGGGCAGAGCTGCAGGGCTAATTCCCCCAGACCCTACCCCCACCCCCCACCCCCGCTCCCGCCCCAGCTTCCAGGTCACCTCCCCAAGCTGCTGAGCGCCAACAGATGGAGATGAGAAAGAAGTCCAAATCCTCTAGGCTGGAAGGACAGTGGGATTGCATTTCAAGCTGCGATACAATCCAGAGATTAACCACTGTCTTCTTTTCAGCCAGTCCACCGGGGTCCAGTTCAACACCCCCACTCTTCCTCCAGTGACCCTTACAGACCCCAGCAGACTAAGGGTAGGAGGGGTTCCTGAATCTTAGGAGACACCCTGAGGTGAGAGCTGCACTGGCAACCTCATCAGACCTTAGCGAATAGTGAGGAAGGGCGCTGCCCACCTGGCTCTGGGAAGACAATGTATCTGGACACCTACACCTGCCAGTAAGACTCTGAAGATAGGAGGAAACAGCTAAGGAGGAGTAAGCAAAGTTGGACAGGGACTCCAACAAGCACTGTTTGAAACCCTGTAGTTGGAGCCACTTGGGCCAGATGTCCTCCGGTGTGTAGTCGAAGTCTGATCCAGGGCTAAGATTTTAGGGAACGTTTTTCCGACCTGCTCCCCGGTGCTACGCAGCACCGAACCCTTTGCACAGTGCCCGCCTACGTGCCCCAACCAAAGCTTGGGTGCGCAGCGTCTGAGCCCGGTTTCAGGAAGTCAGAGGTAGAGGCGGTAAGAGAGCAAGTGTGGTGGGGCCTGTCCCTCCCCTGCCCCGCAGCGCAGCCGGGTTCCCGGAGCCGCCGCGCCCGCCCCGGATGCGCCCCGCGCGCTTTGCCCTGGGCGTCACCTCTCGGGATCGTAGCCGGCCTGCAGCAGGCGGGCGCTGTACCGCTGCGCCGCCGTCTCGTGTCCCGGGTGTTGCCGGGCTCCGGGCTCCGGAACAGCGGCGGCTCCACCTCCCTGCAGCGGCGGCGGGAGCTGCCCGGACCTGGCTGGCTGAGCGAACAGCCCCTCCATAAGGAGGCCGCGACTCTGGGCGGCGGGAGCCTCTCCTCCAGGAGGCTCCGCCGGCCCCCTCTGGGGCGTCCGCGCAGCCCAGTCGGGTCCCGGGAGGGGCGGGGCCATCTGGGCGGGGCCTGAGTGCCTGGGGCGGGGCAGCTCGGAGGAGGGAGGATCCGAGTCCTCCGGGCTCCGCCCTGGCACAGCGCGCCTCCGGGCCCCTCCACGCGGTTCCCCAGATCCTGCTGGTCTCTTCCATGCCGGGTACAGCGACTGGACTCCTGAGGAAAACCAGAAGAGGAAAGAAGCGCAAAGTGTCTCCAGAGGACGGGGTTTTCTTGAGTCTTGTGCCCGTCCCTATGCCTCTTACCAACGTTAGCATGGTCCTTTGGAGCGCCTCCTGCCAGCCAGCCGCCCGTGCAAGATAGGCGGGGACTACCCAACTCTCTTTGCCTATTCAACAGACTCCCTTAGAGGGGAGGAAAATAGATTTTCCCTCAGCTCTTACCTGCCACTACCTGAGGAAGGAAGAGTTAAGGCTGCAGGCTCCTTAAGAAAAAGGGCCTTGGCTTCCCTCTTTTGGGGTATCCCCCCAACCAGGGAGTGGGGCTGAATGCACTGGTGCCCAAACTGTTCATCTACCGACTAGAAAGCACACCTTTTCCTATTTTGTCATTGTTATCACTGTCCACTAGTGATTGAGCACCTAGCAAAGGTGGCAAGGAAAAATAAGAGTCCTTGCTCTTAGGGGATTTCTTTGAGGAGACAGAGGAGACAAAGTTGAGAATTCTTATACCACGTACTTAAAACCTGACAATCTGAAGGAGCAAATGGTCAACACTGAATGGCTAGGGGAGTGCATTTCAAGGAGGTAGACTTATGGGTCAGACTGCTCAGCAACCATTTCGCAAAGGAGATTGAATTTATGTAACGGTAAGATCTTAAATTGTATCTGCCTGGTACCTTGTACACACCTACTCCCCAGATTCAGGATTACAGTTTCTCCGACTCTGGGCTACATGTGAAAACTTCTCACTGTTAATGCCATTCTAGACAAGATTTTTGCTAGAGACTGAATGTTGGTGTTCCTTCACAATTCATATGTTAAAACCGAATCCCCAGTGTGATGGTATTTAGAATTGGGACCTTGGGGAGGTGCTTAGGTCATGAGGATGGAGCCCTCATGAATGGGATTAGTGCCCTTATAAAAGAGACCTCAAAGAGCTCCGTTTTGCCTTCTGCCATGCAAGAACACAACATCTAGGAACTAAGACGTGAGCTCGAATCAGACATTGAATCTGCCAGTGCCTTGATCTTGGACTTCCCAGCCTCCAGAAATGTAAGAAGTAAATGTTTGTTGTTTAAGCCACCCCCACCCCAGTCTATGGTATTTTTTTTTTTAGCTATACAATTTTGTATAACAAGATTATTTCCATGTCCTTACAGATCTTTCAAAGAGGCAAAGAGGTGTACAGATCTAAATGGTACACAATGAAAAAACCATTTTTCCGGTCCCTATTCATGAATCAATCATTCTATACACAAAAAGAGTCAACACTCCGGTTTATGACTAAACAGGAGAGGTCTAGAACCTATCAAAGAGGACTAAGACTGGCAATTAGGTGGACCTACATCCAAATCTGGGATTCATACTGTAGAAACACCTAAGTCACAAACTCTCTCTGAGCCTCAGTTTCCTCATGTTTCAAATGGGGTTCATAATACCTATCTCATAAGGTTGCTTTGCCATTAGCAAGGTAACACGCAAAGTTCCTGGCTCATAGGTGGATCTTGCTAAACAGAAGCAATGATTATTGTAAACAAAGTAAGCGGTCTCTAAATTCTGCACTTTTGACCGACAGCTAATGTAATATATTACAATTTCTATTACATATTCATTCAACAAATGTTTATTGGGCACTTCCCATGTGCCAACCAGATGCTGGGGGTACAATGGTAAACAAGGTGGTCCTTGTCACTGTAGTCATGGGCCATCAAGTCCACTGGGGCAGAGAGACAAACAGGCACTCAGGATACAATGGGAGGGGGGCTCTGGCAGGGGAGGACACCCCTCCATACAGCCCAGACTCCTAGGCAACACACAGAACACGGCCAGCTGTTCTGAGATTCTTTCTCGGGATCCACTGCAAAGGCGCCTGGACGTAGGCAGAACTCAATAAATAAATGACACGTAATGAATGGACCTGAGTCCTGATAGAGACCTGGCGCTTTCTACAGAGTGGCTCTGTCGTTTCTCCAGAGCTTGTTAACTACAAATGAGATTTGCTAGCAAGCTATTCATTAAAACAATCACATTTCCATGGGATAACCTGAGGGCCTCAGCATTTCATACTAAGAGATTTTACCTGTAGTAATGCTCAGAGACCAGTGATTCTCACTGGGACATTTGGCAATGCCTGGGAACATTTTCAGTTGTCGTGACTAAGGGGAAGGAGGGGGCATATTACTGGTATCTAGTGGGTACATGCCAGAAATGCCACTAAGTATTTTTCACAACAAAGAGTTATCTAGTCCCAATGTCAATAGTGCCAAGATTGAGAAGCCCTGATCTAGAGGAACGATTTGAAAAAACCGAAACTAAAGCAAAACTACCTAATCTTCCTAAAGCCCACTGAACAATGGACTATTTACTGTTTTTTGTGCGTTAAAGAGCTATGTATCCCCACTGGGCCTGTTTCCTCATCTGAGAAATGAGAGTGTTGGATTAGGTCTTGTAGAAAGTTCTTTCCAGCTTGAAACAAAGTATAGGAATCAAGTACACTTATAGGGTTAGGATGCAATTCACACAAGCCTGTAAGATTGAGAGGTGGAGGTCAGTCCAGGTGCTAGTCTGTCTGCATCCCCTCACCCTCCAGACGTCCTGAAGTCAGGTGCATAGACAATTCATCAAAAATGTATGGAGAACCTACTATCGGCAAGGCACTGTGCTTAGGTGTTAGAGGGGTGCAAAGAGTAATTAGATACAGTTCTTGGTCTTGAGTTACCTACCATGTAAGAGGGCAGGAAAATCAAGGATAACCAGAATATTAGGCCAAAACTAATGGCAGGGAAAAGACCAACATGAATTGACTACCTATGTGTCAGACACTAGGATAGGCACCTAGCATACTTTTCTCACAAATCCTCACTTTTCCCCATTATTTATGCCTATTTCTCAGGTAAGAAAACCGAGGCTCAGGAAGGTTAAGCAGCTTGTCCACAGTCAGAGAGTGTTTACTGGTGGAGCCTGGGTAAGGCCCTGGACCTGTTTATTCCAACCCTTGAGCCTTTAAATATCTTTCTAGTAACTCTTGCCTTCTCTCATGCAGAAGCTGACACCATCAGGAAAGAAGGTAATACGTGTATAGTCCATTGCAGTGGACTTCAAAAGATGGTTCAGATTATTTTGTGATTCATATTTTGATCTGAATAAGTATCACTTGAAATACAGTGGAGGTTACCTGGGAAATATTTTTGTTGTGGGTTGCATTTATTGTAACAAAATTTCTGCAGTAGATATAGCAAAGTTCCTTGTTAATGATGAATTGTTCCTGGGCCGGCGGAGTGGCTCAGCTGATTAAGAGCTCGCTTGGGAGCGCCAGCTCTGAGCAGCAGGCCTGCGGTTTGGATCCCACATTGAGGGCCAGTGACGCTCGCCCTCTACAGCTAAGATGGTGAACAACAGCTGGACCTGGAGCTGGGCTGCTGTGAGTTGCCGGCTGTGGCGTAGGCTGCAGTGGGGATGCAGTGGACTGCCGTGAGCAACATGAGCGGCCGGCAGCTGGTGTGAGCTGCTGGGAGCCGCTGTGCGCGGCCAAGTAATGACCGGCGACCGATTGCCTCACCCGGGAAGAGCACGATGATCATACCAACATGGGCCAGTGAAGCGACGTCCTCCACAGCTAGACTGAAGAACAAAAACAGCAATTTGTCTACCTGTCTGTTCCCCTTCCCCAATTCCCCAATAAAAATCTTTTTAAAAAAAATAATGAATTGTTCCTAAGCTCTGATTGTGAGAAGAGAGTGGACTGTCCTTTTAGGAGCGAATATGAATATCTCCACCCCATAAAAGTGTAACATAGGCCTAAAGAGAGCTATAATAATAACTTGTACTTTAACATTTGAAAAGCATGTATTGCTTTGTCCAACCAACAATTATGGAGTACACGACATGTATAACCATGTTCCAGGCGCATTAGGGCATACAAAAGAATCTAGCCAGGGAAATGAAATGTTAAAAGCTCAATAATAATACAAGGTAATGGTTCTCAACTGGGGCACTTTTGCCCCCTAGGGTTCATTTGGTGATATCTGGAGGCAGTTTTGGTTTCACAACTGGAGGGGATCAAGTGGGTAGCAGCCAGGAATGCTACCTCCCTCATGACAAAGAATTATCTAACTCAAAATGTCAGTAGTGCTAAGGTTGAGAACCCTTGACATAAGCAATTATGTGCGATTGGGTAATGTCCACTCTGAGAGTTATAGACGTTGAAGGAAGAAGCCGAACAACGTTATCAGCCCGAGAAATCAGAGAAGGTTTCACAGAACAGAAAGGATAGACTGGGTCTTTGAAGGAGTTAGGGTTTAGGAATGACGTTGAGCCTGGAGGGGACATTCTGAGGAGGAGCAAAAGTGCCGAGGCCGAGTGAGCTAGGAGGTTTTTGGGACAGTGAGCTGGCCATCCCGGATGAAACATTATTTCCACTCCACAGTCTTCAGGTTGGGTCCGTCAGGCGGTGGTGTCTTCATGTGACCGGTGAGGAAACCAAAGCACGAAAAGCTTGAGAGAGAAGCTACAAGCCGGTCCTCCTGACGCCTGGGCCCTGGGCTTTCCCCACTGTAGTTCACCTCACCTGAGCCCAGGGCCTCACTTTGTTCTGATATTTGCCACCAGAAGTCAAATGCAACTGTCAGGGGTATCACCCAAACGAAGGCCTCCTTCTGCCCTGAATCCAGCTGGCCCGCTCTGGAACACCAGTGTCTCTTTATTTGAAAAGACACCCTACAGAAACCTAAACACACACACACACCCCTCAAGCAAGAAATGGAGAGAGAGGCTGGCAGAAAAAGTAACCATGTTCTAAAGAGCACAAACATACAGTTG